ACGAAAAAAGGTTAACTTGGGTACTGAAATGCGAAAAATTATAATTTAGAAAATTCGAGGGAATTTATTAGACATGTTACGAAAATTGTACATGAATGGAACTGTCATCTAGAAATTTTTAGCCTTCCCCACGCTATAGAAAATTCTAAGCAGTTTTTGCTTCTCCGAACAGATATTTTACAGGAAACAGTCATTGGGTGCCCCTGTATTGGTCGGCGTTGTTGTTTTCCTGATTGTTTTACGGCCGTTTTGGCGATCAAGAAATGCTTTTGTCGATTAATCGCTGGTTAATTTCGACCGCAAAAGCATTTTACAGATAACATTGGAACAATTTGTACCATTACGGCTTGATAGGTCGAGCGGGATATGTTTGTTTTTCGGAAGTGTGTTTACGTTTGGCTTTTTACCGTCAAAACCTTGCCTTTCCCTGACATCATGATCTGTACCTTTGTAATTCATGTTACACCGAGGGAAACCCACAATGAATTCGTTCTTTCCACGCCGATTGATGTGACCGATGGATCAAATGAACGACGCTGAATCAAAAACTGGCCGGTTTCACCTCTGCTCCGTAGCGCATTGATCGGCCGTTAAGCCCGAGATTGAATTAACACCGAAATAATGAAAAATGGGCTTTGAAATACAGCTAATTTTCCTCAAATGTATCTTTAAATTCACGATAAATACAGCTCCACAAGCTTCAAACAGTGTGTATGGCAGAGAAAACTGCTTGAAGTGTAATAATTTTACTACGTTATTTATTCAGTGCCAGCGTGGCCCAGTGGTCTGGGAGCTGCACTCTCGCGCAGGAGGCCGGTTATTGTGTAGCTTCAAATCTCCGCATGGATATTTTCGGGGTTTTTTTGTACATTTTTAAAATCACACTTTTAACTGGGCGGCCTGAGGCGAGCCCAGTTTAAGAAATGGGTTTCATTTTTTTCTCGGCGGGTGGGGTGGGGTATTTCTGGGACGTCATAGTGGGGGTGGACCGTCCGCCTCATCTAATCTTTACACTATTTCAGAGCAATATCTATAAGGTTAATGTAAGAGAGTTCCTCCCCCGGGATAAAACGGACTGCCAGCTGAAGGTATCCTGTTCCCCTCAACGGACCTTTGGATCCCCAATTTAGAGCGGCATCACTCCATACCATACCAATGCTAACCTTTATCTGAACAAATAATGAGGCATCAAGTTTACAAAAATATAGCTGACTTGTAGGTATACTACTTACTTTATTTTTTCTAAGGTGTAACGTAAATGGTTGAGAGAGGGTCTAATTTTGTTTAATTTTTGCCATATGTTTGAACTTAAAATCAGATTGTTATGTTTGTTATGAATAGCAGCACGTCATTGACCCTCCAAGTGGTATGACTGCAACAAGTTCTATGGGAGAAGAGACTGATGCTATGTTTACATCTGATCACAAAGACAACAGTAACGGTATTACAGATTCTGTTCAAGAGGAAGGAAGAGTACAGCTCCTTGGCGACACAACCGAAATATCCTCTGTATCAAGGCCGTCTGCCGGTACTTAAAGAACGTTTGATCCTTAAAACCAACTTTCGACAATAGCGTTTAACAAAGAAATGTCATTACTACTCATGGTGGCAGCAATGGGGAAATTTAAAAGAAACATTGTGTTTTTAATTCATATATTGCATGGCTGAGGCTTGTTTGAATTTAGGTGGTACAATGCCCACAAATTGCTCTGCTTTACAGTTCCCCTGCCGCCTGCATTTTTTTTTTTCAGAGCAACATTATTGCGGAAAAAATTATGTTTTAAGGGAAAGTGCAAAATCTCCCTGATAGAGTAGCAATAGAATCGAAGTCAATGCCGTTAATTTGGAAAGATATTTGATTTCGTTGCTACAAGAGTAACAAGCAAATAAAATGGACTTAAAAGTCATTTCTTTTTCGATGCCGATAACCAATTCCGTGCAGACTGGAAAATAAGAAACTATTTTGATCCTGTGAGATACTTCGATGAGAAGATCACACTCGGCACAAACTACTAGTCCACGCGTCGTAGGTAAATCCTGTTTAATCCACCGTTTCCTTTCGCCGCTCCTTTACGAGCAAATACAAATTCATCGACGATACCCGAAACTTGTTCATGCAACCGCATCAAACTGAAATATCAAGCTACAAAGAAGAAAATAGAATCCACGCGAAAACATCGACGCTTAGGCTCTAAATTTTGTGACTGACTGCATCACAACTATGTCACGTGCTCGAAAAACCAAAGAAAATACATTAACATAATTAAAATTTGCGGGAAAAAGACACGACATAGCGGCCCCAACAAACGGGCTGTAATTACTCAGTTTGTTTGTTCAACCTAAACATGCCCTCTATGTCAGCTACTAGTGCTATAGGATATTGTCTAAACCTCAGCAAAATACCAAGCAAATTGTTAGTTAGAAACTCCGTCGTGCAAAGAAGCCGCATCAAATACTACACGAATTTTGCCCTGCTTTTGGGGGTGAAACACACCGTGATGTGGCAAATACTATGTCCTTTGGCTACGGCGCACCGCCTCTTCTTCAGTTATTTTTCTGGCATATCCTTTCTGAATGAGGTTCTCCATAAACTCTCTGTACTTTCTGTGCTACTTTCTCTGCCTTATAGATTTGTTTAGAAAATCAGGACAGTGCTCTATCTTATGTGTAGATTCACAGCCATAACATTTTACTTTCAGCGTTGTAGAATTTGACTCCTTGTGTGATTTCGCTGGGTCACTAGGTCCAACTTGCACTGCCATTGTCGTTGTCTTGGGCCCGGTCACTACATTAAGACTTGGGGGCAATGGTTGTCTACTGGCTCTTGGGTTTCTTCTTTGGAAGAATTGCTTCGTCTCTCCAACCTTTCCGAAGACTGAGTCATTAGCTGCTTCTGCACGCCTTTCAATAAACATCACTAGATCCTCAAGAGTTGGGAAAGCTTTTCTTTCTCTAATTCTCAGAGCTTCATCTCTCCACTTAATCTGTAGCACAACAGGTAACTTCCCCGACATTTTCGCCAAATTTGACATGTTCATTTCTGACAGGGCATTAAGTGATCTTAATGTCTCATACAATGTCCTTGAGCGGTCAGCAAATTCCTGCAGCCCTTGTCCATCGTTGTTTGATATGTTTGGTCCATCAACTAAAGCATCAACACATGCCTTTGCCACAATATTTGGTTGTCCAAAACGTTGCTGCAACATTTTTAGGGCCTTACCCAGCCAACCAGGCACTCCTTCAAAACCCGCAACAGAACTTCTAGCTGGGCCATCAAGAAACTGCAACAAACGCGACATTTTCTGAGCTTCTGAAATGTCCTGCGTATCAACCATTTCCTCAAAACGCGATTTGAATCTGAAATATTCACAAGGATTACCAGAGAATTTGACCACATACAAAGGAGGGAGTTACTATCGAGTCTATACTGGTTGTGAGCCTTGCCATCATAGTCTCAGTTGCAGGTGTGTGAAACGATACACTACCAGGCTAGCAAACTCGATCGTGGGGTAAAGCTCTATAAATAAAGGGGGCTGCTTCCGGATTCATGCTACGTTCCTGGAACTGTCCCAGGCAATGATTTCTCCGCAAGTGATGCCTCCAATTCTGTCTTCTCATCCTTTATCTTGGGTTTATGTTCCGCAATCTCAAGCTTCCTGTCTCTTTCCATTGATTCCTTAATAATGCGTTTTGGTTCAATATTTTTTAGCTGTTCCTCACAGTTTAGGTCTTGTATACTATTTGCCCTGCTAATGAAACCTCCAAGGGGATCTTCAAGCTCCTCATAAAATTTAACCTTGGTTTTAGCTAATTCCACGGCATCCTCAGCTTCTGCAATTTGGTTTTCTAACTTTAACTGCTCTTCCTTTAATCTCCTTGCTTTAGCTCTTTTTAATTGTTCCACCTTTTTCTCAGAAAGAACTTTCTGTAACCTTGCCTTTTCATGAGCAGCTGCAATTGATCTGGAAACATTAGACTCTTTTGAGCGAACAGAGCAAATACTTCGAACATCATCCTCGCGCTCAGATAGTGGCACATTAGCTGAAAATACTTTTGTAAGTTGCATCATGGCATCATCCGCCATATTGTCTCCTGTCTCGGAAACATTTGCAATCCCTTTTTCAGAAGCAATGTATCGGTCTATTAACTCAAGATATAAGTGGTACTTCCGACTGTTTCAGCATATCGATTCTCCTCATACATTCTTTCACTCTCGTGCAAAAACTGGATCAAATCAAAGCACACATGCGAATATCGTTTCCACTGATTTTCCAAGCGATGCGAGTCTTCGCGAACTTCAATGGCAAATTTGTGATCTGTCAAATATTCATCAAATCTACGTTAACTCTCAAAGATGGCCAGCTTTCGATTTCTTCAAGGCAACAATTCTCTCAGAAACAGCCGATTTATCAGCAACTGCATTTAACTCCCTTCTGCTTTCAATGTCAATATCACGATCTTCTCCTCGCTGGCTTTCTGCCATCCCAAGTTTATAACATAACAAGCATGCAAATGTTACAAATACAAATGTACCTCCAAACAGCATATATGTCCGTACGTAACTCTTGATCTAACCTCGTTTTCTCACAAAATTTAGAGGAAATGTCGGATACTTCGACGAGAAGATCACACTTGGCACAAACTACTAGTCCACGCGTCGTAGGTAAATCCTGTTTAATCCACCGTTTCCTTTCGCCGCTCCTTCACGAGCAAATACAAATTCATCGACGATACTCGATACTACTTGTTTATGCAACCGCATGAAACTGAGATATCAAGCTACAAAAAAGAAAATAGAATCCACGCAAAAACATCGACGCTTAGGCTCTAAATTTTGTGACTGACTGCATCACAACTATGTCACGTGCTCGAAAAACAAAGAAAATACATTAACATAATTAAAATTCGCGGGAAAAAGCCACGACAGATTCAGTTGGTTGAATTACAAAACCTTCCTTACCATCTACCAGCTTCTCTCAGCTTTTCGTCGTAAATATTTCAGATTTTTAAGCTTAAAACGCTCCAAAATACGACCACACACCACATCAAACAACATCTTAGTCTCTGCCGTTGTGAAATCTGCTCCAGGAAAAATAATTTATGCTGCCTACTCGATTTCGGCAGGCAATGATCTGATTGGTGGAAGTCGATAACAACAAATCCACGCTTCCAGTCGTCTTTTCGGGAGGGAGCGCGAGCTCATTTCCCAAAAAAGGCCTAGAAATCGAGGCTATTTTAACAAGGGAGATTCCTGTTAAAAACACAAACAACAATCGTCAATAATTTAACGTTTCTGTTTGTCTTGCTTGTCTATTCCTTTTTTGGACCACGTAGAAGACTCTCGAATTGTCCTGGCATTTTCCTCTCGGTTCTATTATTGAAAATACTTTGTTTAACCCAACAACGACAAATAGGTAGCTTAGTTTTTTTGCCCAAAAAGCAAAACAAAAACCCTTTGACATCTCTTTTTAAATTTCATAGACAACAGACTTACTAAGTTCATAACTCAAGGCCCTTTTTGTATAGCAAAACAATGCAAACGCCCAAAACAGGACGCTCCGAAACACAAAGGTATTGGCTCTAACAACTGAAGATGTGCGTCTCAGAATATGAAAAATACCCTTGGTGCTATACGACAAAGAATACGATTCTGTGTTCATTCAAGGGCAAACTAAGGACCTACAATCGGCGACAAAATTGTTGAGACATTGTTCTTAAATAGGGTAATTTCGGAGAACAAAAGAATCCACACCCCTCCCCTGTACCCTCCATTCAAAGTTGGGGTGTTTGTTGTTTTCTATAGGCAGCTAGAACAAGGGCACAACATTGCACGGAGGGGATGGGTGAGGAAAGCTATATTTCCTCCTTTTGAAGTTAATAAAACGTAAAAAAAGCCCAGTTTTGGGCGAAGTGTCTCAACTCATTTTGTCGCCGATTGTAGATGTTCGAAATCTGTTTTCCTTTTTGAGACTTTTACATTTTTCAGCAGCAAGTAAAACTCTCCACGGTATTTTAGCTTGCGAAAATATAACCGTCTCTCCTCGCTACTCGCCGCTAGGGAGTCGTTTCGCCAGGCGGGAGGTGACAGGGACTGAATTTCCATACTGATGACGAAAGATCTGTCCGGAATCTGGTCAGGAGCTCTGATTGGCCGACGGAGTAGTTATATTGTTTTAGCTATTGTTTACGAATGACCGACAAAGACAAAGGGCCACGAAGGTCAAATGAAAACGCGATGAATCTACTACAAAACAGTTAATATTCGTGGAATATATTCCTCCTTACAAGAAGCATCTGAGTTTTGCTGGAGCTCGTTCGCAGAAGAACCCAAAACTTTACCGTAATCTACCAGGAGAAACATAAAATCGAACAATTATTCATTTGGAACCCCGTAACTACCGGTTTAATTATGTAAACATCGACGTCATCATTAGTGTGGAATTCTGTTGTTGAGGGGCAGACGTCCCTCCTGGCGAAACTTCCCTAGCGGCGAGGAGCGAGGAGAGACAGCTGTTTTCTCAGGCTAATGGTATTTATCATCTTCGTGTGAAGAGTTAATTTAAGTTGTTTTCGTTGTTGAAACACTGCAAGAGGCTACTGCTGGTAACTTGATAAACCATAAATCTGTCCCTTTCCAGGGCAAGTTTCTGTCGACAAGTCAAAACAGCGGTTTCCCACAAGTGTGTTGCCCAGCCCAACACCCGTTGACATGCCTGCCAAAAGAACAGTGGAGCCCCGCAAGCCGAAGGCTTGCAAGATGCACAGTATTAACATCGGGAAAGATAGCACTTGCATCGGACAAGAAACTGCTTTACATGGAGAGAGGTACAATTAGTGTAACGCAATTCCATAGTGTAATCTCTGAATATCGATTAAATAAGGGGATCAGTCTTATAATAAACTCTTTATAACCCCCACCCCCTGCGCGGTCCCTGGGCAAACGTCTGATTCAAGTTTAGAATTTCGCGGTAGAAAACGAGTAGATAAAAACAGCCCAAAACAATTCTTACGGATAAATAATTAAGTGAAACTACTAATTTGCGGAGAGAAATAATGACCAGTAAACGACAATTGAAGGGGAAACTTGGTCATGTGGTAAAAATGCGCATTTGTCTTTTAACGAGGCCTGCCTTGGCTAATCACGTTTTAATGGGAACGCACGCTGCATACTGAAATTCTCGCTTTATAGTTTCATTCACACGCTATGGTGGCCGAGAATAATTATTTTACATGCTGGTTTGGCTTTTGCTTGTCTCTGTGAACGTAACTATTTTCTCGTCTTCTTGGTTTCGATGGTGTCCGACGGGAGTTATCTCAAATCCACATGCAGCTTTTGTTTTTTTTTTTTTTTTGTCTCGTTATAGTCGGTTGTAGCAGGGTAGATTCACTTTATACTTTCCTGGTGGAGGCCTAGTAAAAATTTCCGTTCTTACTGTACTCTTTTGTTTGAGTGTGCTTTATTTTCGGTGGAGGCCGAGAAAAGTGTCTTTTTCTGCCCGGTTGTGGCTGAGTAATCTCGTTGACCGAAAAACAGTAATATATTTTTCCTCGCTAGATTACGATGTACTTAATAGTTAGGTTTTTTATATTTGTATATGCATAATTCACATTTTATCTTGTTTTGTATTTTTAGTTTGTCGAGCGTTTTTAACAGTAGCCTCTGGCTCGGAAGATTGTGCAAACACTTCCCACGTCTTCGACATTAAATAAATCATTCTATTCAATTCCATTAAATTGGTTGTGGCCGAGAGGAATTGTCTTTACGTGCTGGATTGAAGAGTGAATGAATGTTTTTTTTTCTCAGTTTGCGAGCAAGCCGCGGAATTCTCCAAATCCTGTAATCTGATTGGTTTCGTAATTCTCTATGAACTACTATGTCGTTCTTGCTCTTTTCCCCCACTGTTGATTTTAGGTTTCACTTCTGAATCTAGACCGGTGTTAAAGTGGTACCGACTCCTTTACTTGGAATTTAGTTTGCACAATAACTGGCCGTTTTTTTTTTCTTTCATCCGGCGTCCAGCAATAACGCAGGAATGAAAAAAAAAAACAAAACAAAACAAAAGAATTGAAAGGGGAACGAGTGGTAAGAAAGACAAGTTAGTTTACCCCACCTATCACACCCCACCCTTAAACAAGTGTGTCTATTATTATTATTTTTTGGCCCCGCATTTTGCTTTTCCCTTACTATTTTCCCCAAGTCTCAACTTGTGCTGTGTCTTTTAATTTACCGCTCGCTGGCTTAAATGTTTATTGACTCTCTACTATTGGGTCATCTTTATATAAGCCTGGTAATAGGGGGGCTCCCCTATATTTTGCATCAGCCCAACTATTCAAAATGAAATTCAGTTCCCGAAGCTTTACTTCACACGCGTGTCTCGTTTTCGATCTTTATCTTTGTCTTCCTTGAAGAGAAAATCCTGTACTTGAGATTTCAGGATAAATCTCTTAATTTGACTAGAGGAATGTAGTCATAAGTACATATTCCGGCTGATGCGATGAATTCAGCCAGGGGTTATCTGACTTCGCTGTTGAATGTGGAAATTTCATTGAAATGCGTGACTACTAGTCACCTTCCGAGTGCCCCCTTGCCGATTATCATCAGAGAGGCTCTAGCACTCAAAAATACCCTCTTGACTCGTGTCGCTTCCGGCATCGAACCGGAGTTGACGCCTTTGTGGACATGCAGTCTACCGTTAGTTCGCACTTGGACAAATCAAACTGGCATGAGCAAAGCTCTTTCAGACAAACCAAGCCATCCAAACAACTTTGCAATCTTATATTGCCCTGTCCTTGGTGTATGTTTCTCCAGGAAATTACCTGACGCACGTCCCCTCCAGGGTTCCCTCCGCCTGTGTTTGCATGCTGTCCCCACGTGTTTGGAAAGAAATAGAGAACAGTTGCGGCCCTCATTCCATCTATTTAATAGCCTTACATTCTAAGGCCCCTATTGCTGCTCAGGGCTGCCGTTTGATATATTTCTCACTTTGCCCAACCGAAGGGTCCACCGGAGTCATTGTTTTCTTTCAGACTTTCCATCGTTTAGACAACTCTTAATTCTTTCCAAACTTGGCTTTAAGAGCTGGT